CATCCTTCATCCCATCCATCCGGAGAGCATGCCCGGGAATTTCTTTCCCTTGGCTGCACATTTGTGCGGCCAGCAGCCTGCTGCCGTTGTAGGGCGACAGGCTCAGCTGCGCGTGCACCTGCTATCGTGGTAGGGTGCCTAGCGCTACTCGCTCCCTGGAGGGCCGGAGCGGGCTGCTGCGGCAATCCTCCATCCCATCCACCCGGAGACCGGGCATTACTTGGCCAGTCTGATGAAGAGCTCGCAGGGTTCATATTTCCTTCCGCGATGGCTGCCAGGAAGCAGTGCAATGGATGGTGGGCATCTGGCACGCTGTCCGTCAAATCGTCAGCAGCCCGTGGACAAGGAAGCACAGGCCAGCAAGGTGCTGGCTGCATCGCCATTGCTGCGGATGACCCCGGTTGCTTCTTGGACATCAGATGCTTTCAAGCATCACCCTAAGGGTCCAAAGGACCTAATAATCATGTACTTGGGTTACGGATAGTAGTTTTGTAGGTTAGTATTCAGAAGAGTCTATGGTTATTAGGGCCTTGGACCCTTAGGGTCAAGCCGCAGCGTCCAGGCATTGAGGCGCGGTGGTAGGTTTACGGCCAGGCGGTGCGGTTTGCCGGGCTCCGTTAGGACTATGACTGTTGTTCCTGTCCATCTCTTCGAAAGTCAGCCCTCTAAACACTATTGCTTTCTGGTAAGAAGTACACAAATGAAGCAACAGCCGATAGCAGCAACAGGTGTAATTGCCACTATGGTGTATTGTTAGTGGGTTGGGGGCTCCACCACAGTCATTGCTATTGTAATGCCCAGTTGACTAATACTGCCGTTCGTGCTTTTCCGTCGTGATGGCCGTTGGCGTTATTATACCATTGCCTTGTGCAAAGCCCATAGTTGGCTTCGAGTTTGGTTGGTTTCGAGCGGGGCTACATGGAGTCATCTGATAAATAAACATACTAAGAACAAGAAAACAACATCAACAGCAATAACCGCGTCATGTGTGGTAACGGTTCTGAATAATATTCATGGCATTCACAATACACTTACCATTAGCCATCATCTTGCTAGTCCTAATAACAGTAGCAGCGGCGGCAGAAGCAGCAGCAGCGGCAGCAGTGCTGTTTATTTGTTACTATCATAGTTAGTGAATACCAATCATGACAGCAAGAATAACAACAAGCTTACAAGGGATAAACATAACCTTCACAACTAATGTCAATTTCTTTTGAGTTTTGAAGGCATTGCTTGCGATTTGCCATATGGATGTGCCTAAGCCCTAAACCCTGAGCCCTAAACCCTAAGCCCAAAAACCTACACCCTGAGCCCAAACCCCAAAATAGACAGCAGCCGAGAAGCACCGCCGGCAGCAAGGCGCCTCCGGGTGACTCGGCGAGGGCCTGGCTGCTCCAAAAGGAGGGGACGAGCTGTACCCTGAGAGAGTCCCGTAAAGGAAGTTGGGGGTCTAGGGTTTAGCGTTAAAGGTTTAGGGCTTAGGGTTTAGGGTTTGGGGTTTAGGGTCTCCCGTAAAGGAAGTTGAGGGTCTAGGGTTAAAGGTTTAGGCTTCAAGGTCTCGGGTTATTTAGGGTTCAGGGTCTAGGGTTATTTAGGCTTTAGGGTTTAGAGTTAAGGTTTAGGGTTGTTTAGGGTCTAGGGTTTAGGGTAAAAGGTTTCGGGTTCAGGGTCAATGGTTATTTAGGGTTTAGGGTTAAGGTTCAGGGCTTAGGGTCTAGGTTTATTCAGGGTTGAGGGTTTAGGATTTAGGGCTTCGGGATAGGAGGTAGCATACGGGTTGCTACCAGGATTACTGTAAGGGCCTCGATCGGGGATAAGGTTTGGCTGAGCAACCGGATAAGTCTAAGAGTCTATTTAAGGGACAATAGGAGGGACCCCTAATCCTAATACCCTATAAAACCTTTTGTACCCCTTATATAGCCTCATAAAGCCCCTATACAACCCAAAGGGTCCCTTTAAGGGTCCCTTCTTTAGTCCCTTGATCTAAGGACTCACACAAACGGGCTTGAGCTACCAAAGACGATTCAGAGTATCAGTTTAGGCCTCAAGGCTTTAGGGGCATAGGGTTTAGGAGCCAGAAACCCTAGGGTGATACGGAAACCGCTACTCTTACCCTTCGCATCAAAATGGCCAATAAGCCTTTTATAATAGGGTCTTTGGGCCCAAAAGCCTTACACTATGGATCCCTTGAGGATCAGGGTTAGTGTTTGAAGTTATGCAGACCCAAAACCAGGAGTCCTCAGCGTCAAACTCGAACACAGCGGCCTCAACCACACGGTATAAGGCCCCAGAGTCCAAACTCTAAGCACGAAGCGCAATCTAAAACCGAGCCAGTTAGGGTGTAGGGTTTAGGGTTTCGGGGTGTAGGGGTTTAGGGTTTAGGGGCTAATCGCCCGGACTCCAGTCTGAAAGCAATCCTGTAAACTGCTTGCGGCAGATCGAGAACCTCCGAGGCCGTAGAGACCCTAAACCCTAAACCCTAAAGCCAAGAACCCTGAACCCTAAACCCTGGAACCCTAAACCCTGGAGCCCTAAACCCTAAACCTTAAACCCTTGAGCCCTAAACCCTAAACCCTAGAGCCCCTAAACACCTGAAAACCCTGAGAACTGGCGCCCCTCCAGACCTCCAAAACTTGAAACCTTAGGACCTTACCATAGGGGCCTTAATAATCAGAATGGGGCTTGGGGTATATTATTATACCAGAAGTATAGTAAGGAGCCCCCCAAAGCCCTATTCTACTTATTAAGGCCCCTACAGTACGTGTGTCGAATAAACAAAGCCTGCAGCCCTGTGAGCTGAAGATGAACCCTGAGACAAATATAGGGGCCTAACACCCTAAAACCCTAAACCCTAAAACCCTAAAACCCTAAAGCACCAAAACCCCAAAACCCTAAAACCCTAAAACCCTAAAGCACCAAAACCCCAAAACCCTAAACCCTAAACCCTAAAACCCTAAAGCCCCAAAACCCTACAACCCTGAAGCCCTAAAACCCTAAAGCCCTACTAAGCCCCCTCTATTACTACTGGCTCCTTGGGGTCCCTGCTTATAGGTATACTATTATAAGGTACTCCCCAAAAAAACGAGTCTAGTTATGAAGGCCCCCTATATGAATCCCGAATCCTGACAAGCTGATCTATGGCGTAACAAAGCCTTCTAAACCCCGCTATAGAGCCCAAGAAAAACGCACTCAACATCTCAGGGAACCAAGGTGGCGGGGTTCAGTCCAGCGTTTTCGGGTTAGAGTTTAGGGCTCAGGGTTCAGAATATAGGGTTTAGCGCTAAGGATTGTTGGTGCAAGCTGTGGCCTGGAAGCTTGAAGCTTACACCCTCAAGCCCTAACCCTAGACACACTAACCCGAAACCCTAGACACTCTTGAATAGACACCCTAAGCCCTAACCCTTAAGCCTTTAGCCTGTCGCCATTTGCACGCACTTCGCACGACCCGCGGCCTGGATGGCCCGTGCGCGGCTGAAGCCAAGCTTCCTTGAAAACCGGGGGTTATATATATATATACACACATATACCTATGCGTATATAGATATGCATGTACACACACACACATACGTCTGTGCACACACTTGTACATATATCTATATATATATATACACACATGTGCATATATGTGTATACATGTGTATATATGTATACATATGTATACAGTCATATATATACACATTATGGAAGTAGGCACCGAAAGACCAATAGTTTCAGGGACTTAACCCGGTTCTGGTTGATCGTAGTTTGGATTCAGTAATCGCAGTGCCGGTTCCGGTTGTAGAGTATACAAGACTCTGGTTGAACCCTACACCCCAAATGACAAGTATTGGGATCGAGTTCGAGTCTTGCGAGTTTTTTCGGGGTACCGGGTTCAGGGTCTTTAATAAACCTGGATAGGGTTTGGGGGTATATAATAAGAGAACTATATTATATAGGACCGGAAGGGAATAGCCGTATACTTAATTACATACAGTATATTAAACCCCGATTCAATTCTTCCAACCACCCCTTTGAAGACCTAAGCCCTAAGCGGAAGTCATTCAACCGCCTAAACCGAAGCCTGCCTAGAGCACCTTTGCGGCTTCAGCAATTATATGGTTTGGGCCCTGAATAAGATGGCGTTCTCGGGGCAGCTGTTAGTGTTTTAAGCCTTTACTGCCTTTACCCCTATGGATCCCATCGACTCGCACGTTCTAGATTCCTTGCACGCGCAACTTCCCAAACCTCTGGACAAGTCAGCCCTGCAAACCCAAATTCTATGTCCGGAAACATTCAACTAATCTTCTAAAGGGCCACAGACTAATCCCTCAACTTGGTGGCGGGAATGGGCTGAAACATCTTGCCCAGCCGCTCAATGCGCGTGATGTACGTTCCTTCCTCGGCTAGCCAAAGGACAGACACTTTATCTAAGGTCTAACTGTTTTACATTGCTGCTGCCACTGGGATTGCGTCATTACTACCCGCTGCCGTGGGTCGTTCGTGGTCAATGTCATCCACGAACCCAGATACAGTGAGCCAAATCCTTGAAACCATCAACTCCCTGTTAAACCCTATAAACCTTAAGCCTGAATCCATGCCAACTCGAACAAAGCGAATCCGAACATGACGGCGCAGACCCACAGAGCGTCAGATCCAAGCAGCTTAGAGTGTTTATGAACATGGTCTAGGGGAAACGAGGGGCAATTCAAAAATGGCATGGTGCTCACTGAACCGAGCTCGACGACTGTTCATTGCTGGACTACATGACTGAAACTCAAGGTCACGAAAACTCTGAATATCCAGAAGTGCGAAACCTAATGCCCGGGAAGCTAATGCCTCGATTGCATGCGTTTGCAATCCAACCCGAACGTACAACAAAACAGCATGGTTTAACATGCATGAAGTAACTTCTTGGATCAACAATGTACCGGCAACTGTTCATAAGCAGGTCCTTCAACGTTCAACAATTGCAAACTTTACCAGAGCTGTAAAGCTCTGACCGTTACACAACTAAATTGAACACAGTATACGATGAGTCTACAACTTTTGCGACCCCAAGAGGCACTTGAGATACAACATCCGAGTTCGGTCGCACGAGCCGACAACTTCTTGGGCCAATTCACAAGCCGGAAAAACACGTACGCAACAAGCACAGAACATACTACAGTGCGAAATGCAAAATGCGAACAACAACTGACGGCGGCATCTGTTTTCGTTCAGCATGACGGTTTGCAAAATGTACTGTAAATTGAATGTGATGTGAACACGCATGAAC